TGAATGCAGTTGAGGAATGAGGGCATACCTCTAGCAGCTATCGCATTTCTTCGCGTATTCAACTGCTTCCTTATTAAGATTAGGCCAGCAGTATCCCCGTCGCAGGACCTTATAGGCTAAGGATATCCTCCCAGCATGGTTGCCGCAGATCCTGTCATGTATTTCTGAGAGCACTTTTCTTGCCTCCTTCTCATCAAGGCATCTAAGTAGGGGTGTTGAGTACCCTCTTTGGTATAGTGTATTGTCGTTGAGCGTATACCTCGACGCTTGGTATGTTAACTATTTAGCTTGCTGCCTATCCTCAAGGAGTTCACCATCGATAAGGTACTTGATAATATGATCTTTCCAACTCAGTCGACTGTCTACTAGCATCGCCTCTGGCTTTCCTTCGATAGGTGGAGTCTCCAAGATCTCCATCAGTACTAGCTTTAGCAGCTCTACATCCTTAGATGTAGCCAGTCTAGCAAGAGCATCCGCATTACTGTTTTCTGCCCTTGGCACTTGTTGTATGTCGCAGGCCTTGAATTTTCCTAGTCCCACTTTTACCTTTGCTAGGTATGCCATCATCTTCTCTCCTTTGGCCTGGTATTGGTCCTTTATCTGATTTACAATCAGCTGTGAATCACTGAAGATATCTATGGTCTCCACCCTTAACTGCTCTGCTAGCCGAAGTCCTGCTAGTAAGGCTTCATACTAAGCTTTGTTGTTAGATGTGGAGAACGTAAACCTGATGGCAGAGGTTATTTTGTAACCCTCTGGAGTGTGTAGAATCAGCCCTGCTCCACAACCATTTTCATTAGAGCTTCCGTCGACATAGAGCTTCCATCTGGGCGATTCTTTCTCGGCGCTGTCCATCTGGTAGGCCAGTGAACTCTGCCATAAAGTTGGCCAGAGCTTGACCTTTATGGCCGCCCACGGCTTGTAATCGATATCAAATTGGTTGAGCTTGATTGACCACTTGAGCAATATCCTAGAGGCGTCACGTTTTTCTAACACCTGCCTTAAGGGGTAATTTGTCAAAACTTGAATTGTACGGGCCTGGAAAAAGTGTCGTAGCTTTCTAGACGTCACCACTAATGTTAAGGCAAGCTTTTCTATCTGCGGATATCGTGTTTCCGCGTCGAGGAGGTGCTTGCTGGTATAGTAAAATGGCAGCTGCACCTTATCTTCGTGAATTAACACTGAACTAACGGCGTGTTCTGATACCGCGAGATATAAACTTAGCACTTCTCCAGGCACATGCTTGGACAGTAGGGGTGGCCTTCCAAGATGCTCCTTCAATTGATGGAATGCACGTTCACTCTCCTCCATCCATTGAAATGGCTTGCTTCCTCTAAGGGTGTCAAAGAACGAAAGGCACTTGTCGGTGGATTTGGAGATAAATATGTTCAGCGCCGCTACACACCCCGTCAGCTTCTAGACTTCTTTGGGCCGGTTTGGTGATTTCATGTTAATGAGTGCCTGGATTTTCTCTGGATTGGCCTCAATTCCTTGACTACTCACTATGAACCCTAGGAATTTTCATGATTTAATCCTAAAGGCACACTTAAGGGGGTTCAGCTTAGTTTTATATATCCTCAGAACATAAAACATCCCTTGAGGTGTTCTACATGTTATTTGGATTTCTTACTTTTTACCAGCATATCATTGACGTGCACCTAATAGTCTTTCCTATCTAATCGGCGAACATTTTGTTGACGAGACACTGGTAGGTGGCTCCTGCATGCACAAGGCCAAAAGGCATTACCTTGTAACAGTATAGGCCTTGATCGGTTATAAATGTTGTATGTTCCTCATCTAGGTGGAACATCGGGATCTGGTTGTAGCCAGAATACGCATCCATGAAGCTTAGGAGCTCATGTTCGGCTATGGCGTCGACTAGCTGGTCTATCCTTGGAAGCGGGAAGCTGTCCTTTGGACATGCCTAGTTGAGGTCGCTAAAATCCACACATGTTCGCCACTTCCCGTTGGGATTCAATACTAACAATGGATTCGAAACCCATTTGGGGTATAGTCACTCTCTAATGAAGTTGTTTCTGATCAACTTGTCGACCTCTTCCCGTAGAGCTTCATACCTCTCAGCATTCATTGGCCAAAGCTTTTGCCTCTTGGGGGGATATTTTTCATCTATGTTGAGCATATGGCTCATAATTTTCATATTTATCCCCACCATATCATCGTGTGTCCAGGTGAATACATCGAGATTCCCCTTGAGGGAGTTCACCAACTCTTCTCTCCTCTGCTTCCCAAGCTATGAGCCAATCTTCAGTTTTCTTGTCGGCTCCATCTCATCAATGGGGACTTCGAGCAACTCTTCAATAGGTCTTGTCCCCGACTCTTCCTCTAGGAGCCTGGGATCTAAGTCCACGTTCATAGCTCTAGTGGCCACCATTTGCATCTCTCTTCTCGCCTGACCGGGCTTCTCGTAATGGTGCACCGTCTCAGAGTAGGTAAGCCTGGACTCATATTGATTTGCTCTCACCTTTCCAATCCCATTGGGGGTTGGGAACTTCATCATTTGATGATATATCGATGTTATGGCCTTTAAGGCTCTCAACGTCGGCCTTCTGATAATGGCGTTATACTGATCACCTCCCTTCATAACCAAGAACTTGGATAAAACAGTCGAGGTGTGTGGTCGGTCGCCCACAGTTATCGGCAGTTCAATTATCCTTACAGGGATGACGCAGTCCCCTGTAAAGCCATAGAGGGGCTGAGTGTTACTTTGTAACCTTGTTCGGGTCAACCAGGATGTGGCAAACCGTGTGCTTACCAATCATAGCTTCACGACGAGAGCCTGGTTATATGGAAAGTGTACTTCGTTGGTTAGCTGTCACACTGCGAGTTCTTCTCTGAGGCATGTCCGCTACCATAGCTGGATTCATGAATTCTGGGTCTATGCCCTCCTTCTAGTGCCAATTGTTGACAGTGAAAATTCGTCAACTCAGAATTTAACCTCTATGGGAACACTCGCGCGATAACTCACGAATAAATTAAGAAATAATGCCGAAAAATAAAGAGTACACAGAAATTTATAATGGTTCGGCAGAAACTCTTTGCCTACGTCCACTTGTTGATGCACTAATACTTAAAAGTACAATTTCTCTCAGTGGGAAAATAGTGCGTAAAAAATCAAATGAGAAGTTCAACCCCTTTTTATAGGCTCTCCTGTCGTTTTAAATGTTATCCCTAATTTTTTGATGATGATCCGTTCAATTCCTTTAATTAAGGGATTTTTTGGATATTCTCTTATTTGAATAACTGAATTCGAGGGATTATCCTCGTTAATCGCTATATGATCTCCCAATTTGAATTCAGATACTTGATATGATTTATCTCTTCCTGATTTGGTGGGATTTGATTTAAATATGATCCCGTAGACTTCTCGATGTTGTAACCTTCAAAGGCTTATGTGGAGTTCTCGACCTATACCCTTTGTCCTTGGGAGTTCTCCTCAACCTAGGAACATCTCATGAACTGTCAGCTCTCAACGTTAGGAATAAGTCCCTAACTTCTGGAGCGCTCGACACATACGGATCAAAGTTGGTCCGATTGCTCGACCATAGTTTAACCGTTTCTTTCTTTCTTTCTTTTCTCTTCACTTCTCTCTCTCTGTTTTTTTTTTTTTTTTTTTTTTTTTTCGACGTAGCATATTCATCTTTTAATAACTAGGGCATATAAAGTATAAAAATGTTACTTTTCTTTTTCAAATGGAGTTAGCTGTAACAATGAAGCAAGTTAATGCGTTGATTTCTACCCTCTTTTTTTTTTTTTTTTTTTTTTTTTTTTTGCGACGTAGCATATTCATCTTTTAATAACTAGGGCATATAAAGTATAAAAATGTTACTTTTCTTTTTCAAATGGAGTTAGCTGTAACAATGAAGCAAGTTAATGCGTTGATTTCTAAGATCACAAGTTTTTTTTTTTTTTTTTTTTTTTTTTTTTAATTTTAAGAGAAGTAAATTGTTAAATCACGGCAAGTTTAGAGGGCAAAATGTGTTAAAAGTCCTCTACTCTCTATATAAATGCATCTCATATCACCACATAATTGCAAGACTTTCTTTTGCTAAAATCATATACAAATTTGATCATAAATACAAGATACAGGATTTGTTTGTACAAACTTTCAACACACTTTTTTTGAATGTTTAGTTTTTTGGTAAAATAACAAACAACTATCAATAGACAATTTACCCTTGCCAATATCTTTGATACTTTGGACACGATGTTTGAATGCTACAAGCATAACACATCTTGGAACGTCTTTTTCAGTTTCCACAGAAAAATTCTTGCAGATGAAAATAGCAACAGACTCTTTCACGAGAGATAAGAAAACCCATTCCTTTCAGAGTTCTCACTAGCGACACCAGTTAGTGGCCAACAGACGACATTGATAGTTTTCAGGGGAATAATTAACAACGCTATCGATAAAGTAACACTATTGTATTTTTATTATTGTTGTTAAATTTATCTTACGTCATTAATAACTTACATATTATTTTCGTATCCTGCAAGTTATTTTTGGTATTAATACTAAAATTGTGTAGTGACATAAATAATAAAATTAAAAAAAATAATGATTAAACTTGAAATCTTCTCTACTTTCCTCTTGTAAATAACATAGCCCTCATTTTGCTCGCTGGTCCGAATTTTATTTATTTAGACTTTTTTGTTTGAACAGAAAATTTGAACAGTATAGTTTAAATTATAGTTTAAATTAGCGTTTGAATGTGCAATTAAAATTTTAATGTAAATAAGGAATAAAATTTGAATTCGTGTTTGGTAGATGTGAAATGAGAGAGTGAACATCTTTTTACTATTTAAAAATTATTTGAACGGTTAAACTTAAAAAAAGAACTAAACTTTAAATTGAACAGTTTAACTTAATTTAAACGAGAAATATTATTTGAACTTTATTCTTACCAAACATAAATTTAAACTGCGTTGACTATTCGAATTGAGTTAAACTGAACTAAACTAGTTAAACAAAAGAAGGCATAATTTATACAGCTTTTCGGGTAGAATTTGCAAGCAACGAGTGCGTGAAGATTATACGAAAAGTAAAGCAGGTTGAACATAGCCCAATTTAGCTCAAATTCCTTGTATTAATGTTAAATGCCACAGCAAAGAATCTTGGTGAGCACAAGGACAAACATCTGGTTCAAGAATTTGAGACTTAAATCAGATTTTTGGCATAGTTTGCCGTGTTAAGGAAGTAATTGGTATACCAGTAAACCAGACCTCAAAGCATAGCAACTTTTGATGATCCATCAGTAATAATGATCAACCCCGTTAACAGCACTTGAATGTTCAAAATACTAATTGGGGCAAAAACATATCATAATCCATTTTCCCAGTGATCCTTACCTTCATAAATTAATATTTCCCCAGAGCAAGACTGCCTAAAAAATTTAGCACTTCATGCTGCAACTTGGAATAAGCTTTCATATATAAATATATCCTCTGTGAGCAAGAGAGTTGCTTAGTCTTTGACCATGACACTTCGCAACTCAAATGACATTTTTCTTCAATGTCAACAAAACTGGCCCATGGTTAATTACTTCATGTTACCAACCAGCCCTCACTTGCAACAGCCATTTCCAATTAGTATAATATGAAAAAATTTTATTTTCTCACCAGCATTTCATCCAGCAACCTGTTTCTCGCTTGCTTTGTAGTACAGCATCTTCTGTACATAGAACATCATGTATCCTTGAGCTGCTCGCACAATGCTCTCATTGACTTGAGTTATCCAAGCATCATCACACTTGTACCATTGGTTACATAACCGTAAGTAAGTCACATAATGGCCAGCATCTAGCTTACCTGAGTGAGTGACAACAGCAAACAGCTCAAACTCCGAGGACAAGTCATTTGAAGTGTCCGGCTCAACTCCGTCAAAAGGGAAAATCCTATTCCCGAATCGGCTTCTCAAGATAGAAGATGAAAGATAAGGTGCCATGTCCAATGAAATTGGGAACTGCAAGTATCTGTCAACCTTTCTTGACATTTTGCGGACCGAAGAATGCTCGAATCTTTTGATATGGAAGCAAGAAACTAGCGGAAGCTTTCTTATAGACATCTGTTTTAGTGATTCCTGCCTCACCTGACACTGCTGGCAGAAGAATTTTTGGTCGGAGCCCAATCTCTCGGGTCTCGTAAAACGGTCCAAGCAACCCAGCAGGGTAGATGTTCCACAGTTGTGCCTTGAATTCAGGCAATCTGCTTCACCATTGCAAGGATGAAGGGACTTCGTCGATGCCATCTTTGCAGAACCCCCTTGGGTTGGCTCCAAGTCCAGTGAGATGTCAACGCACGGGTCATATGTCGTAGATGTGAAACCACAGGCCATGCACATGACATCGGATCGCAAGATGCCCGAGAATACTCTGTGAGCAATACAGCAGTCTCCATTGCCTGCACTACAAGAAAAAACTAATTGTTGTTAAAACATCCAATACAATATCAAATTCTTGTATGAAAAAGAGG